GAGCTCAAATCTCCACGTTTCCTCATACATAATATTCCATAGTGTTGGTCCCAGTACCGAGCACTGTAGGACCATTGCTGCTACTTGATATGACTTCGTGCCTCTGTCTGTGTAGTACAAAAGCACTCTCTCTTTAAAATAATCAACGATTATTTTTACTAGGTAGTTTGGGACATTTTTCCTATGAAGTGATGCTAGTATAGTGTCCCAATCCGTATTCTTTGTCTCCTTCGAGCCAACGGTCTCCTTTGTAATATTCCTTTTTTGTGAGTATTTGTCTGTGCTACCCGAGTTGGTATTATGGGCACTTGCATCGCATTCAATCAACAGTTCATTATGTTCCTTCTATTTTAACAAAACAACTGGTCTGTTAGAACTGAAGCACATATCGTTAACACTGCAGTAGTGGTGAATACCAGGACTGATGATTGATTGCGAAGTATAAATAAGTAGACACGTATAAATCTGTTGAATTTTGATCTTCAACGTAAACTTTAGAGGAATATTATATCAGCTGGTATAAACAATTTGTTTTTCTTCGGTGTGAATGCTGTTCATTGGTCTTTTTCATTTATTTATAAACAACTTTGAAAATTACCCTAAAGAGACTAGAATATCTATAAAAAAACTTTCTTATTTGGTTAAAGTTAAAAATCAAAATGTGTTTCATATTTAAATTTATTTAAAAATTTAATATAAAAAAAAATTAAAAACGCAGAAATCGGAAATATGTATTTATTTATTATAAAAATATTGTTTTCTTTTATTTGTTAATATTTGTTAATATTTGTTAATATAATATATAATAATTTATTAGCGAGCTAATTGGTCAATTTAAATAGAAATTAAAAAACTATAATTTAATATATATATTTAAAAACAGTTTATATATTATTAAAATATGTATCTTCGCTAGTCATCTTCAGAGAAACTAACTAAAATATACAATGTTAAATTTTATAGCGGAAAATTACACAGAAAAATCATACAATACGTACAGTAATAATAAAAATAACAAGAATAGCAAAAAAAGAAAAGAGAATAAAAATTATAAAAAAACATGTTCAAACATCCTGTGTCATTTGTTTATAATAGTCCTATAAGCCTGAGCACAGTTGTCCGTTATATAATTTAGTCTTATACGGCATTTACACTGGCCGATAAAGGCTCATTTTGGTCAAAAATCGAAAATGAGAAGCGAATGGCTCATTCTTGCATACAAAATTTCAACTGCGAATACGATCCATTTCATCACATTCTGTATGAATACGTCCCAACGACGTTCGAATGCGTTCCAAATATATTCCAAATACAAAGGAATACATTAAACATACCCTAAATAAAAGCAGTTTGAAAAAGCTGTTTTTGACATATTCACAAAAAAAGGTAAACAAATGTTTGGTGATTGCATTTTCTGGAAAACTATGCACCTCTTTTTAGAACTTGAACTTCTACATCGCAAAAAGTATTTAATCGAAATTAAAAATATGTTTTCAATATATATTTTAAGGTTTGAAGGTATATTTAACCTTCATGCAATATTTTCAAATAAATCAAATTATCAGGTTAGTTGAAAAATCAGCTGTTTGAAATGAGAACAAATGCCGATTTACACTATCATGAAAGTAACATGAAAATGAACTTGAAATCCGGTTACTTATAGATGAGAGAGGGAAGAGAGTGTTATGTGTGTTCATGAATTTTACGCAATGAAATTTGCTGCGTTTCTTCCAGCACCACCATTATGCCAGCGCTGAAAGTAAGCGAGGAGTTAATAGCTCTTCGTTTTTATTTTTCTTTGTTTTGTTTTCGACATAGGTAATTTCGGGGTTGAAATTATAACAGAATGAAAAAGAAAAGAATTTGAATATGAATAATTTCTTGTTTTGCCTGCATTGTATACATTAACGGACCTATTCTGTGCACTTTATAAAATTATCAAACATTGACACTTGTCAAAATTGACTGCTGTAAAAGTTTTGGTATTCTGTGATATAAATAAAAAGCTCTTTTCCTTGATAGTTGTCAATACCTCAAATGCTGTTGACAACTATAAAAATATGCTCTTTTTAAGCATTTTTTATTATTTGCATGCATGACAAATATTCTTAACTAAAATATGCGCTCCTTACAAGTATATTTTTTATTGTGATTTGAATGCATGAAAAATGCTTTCGACAATTTAAAATATATGCTCCTTTTTACGAACAGTTACGAATAATTACGAACAGTTTTATATACAAAACACTTTACATCATAGTGTGGTGAGAAGCATTAGGTACTTGAGCTTCGAAATTTGTCAAGATGTGTCCAGAATACCTTCTGGTTTATAAAAATCAAAAATTTTATTAAAAAATTTGACAAATTTTTCAAGTGCACAGAATAGGTCTGGTAGTCTGTTTTTGATTTTAGTGCAGTGAACACTTTTGAATATTTAAAATCGAAATAAAATCTAAATAAAATCAAAATGTGTGTGTTTAACATAAACTTACTGTAAGTATATGCAAAATTAAGTAAATATATTTACAATGATGATTGAAATTTTTGTATTGTATTATAGTATGTTTACATTACGAACTTTAGTGAACAAACTTTGCTAAAGTTGATTCAGCGTTTACATTATCGTTTCGAGTTTTCATTTTGACAGTTGCTGTTTTTGTTATCTTTTGTTTACATTTGTTTTGTTTACATTTTGATACCTGTGAATATTGTGTTTGTTTACTATATATTTTGATGAAAATTATGGATCAAAATATTATTATTTTTCGCTGTAGTGAATCTGCACAACAAAATAAAGTTCTCAATAATGATTATATTACATACGAATAAGGCGCCGTAAAATAATTGCCAAAATACTGCAATTAATAGTGGCAAATAAATAAAGAACATTTTACAACTTCATAGTCTAAGAAAAATTGCATATAATGAAGAAAATGAAACAAACCCAGCAATAACAATTAACAATTTTGTTGAAAACTTGTATAAAAGTTTAAAATATCAAAAATGAATTTGTAAATTATTTATGACTTTCATTAAAAATGAATTTCATTCACATTTTTTTATTTTGGTAATCTGAATTCGAGATTAAACACTATAGTAATAAAAGAAAATTATTTTAATAACAAAAGTTTCTATAAATATAATTTCCTTTTTTATATGCAACTTTCTTTATATAGGTATAGAAAGTTTCTTTCTACTGAACACCGCTTGCATTCAACTTATTGTAAACAACTTAAATGTAAACAAACAAAAGTGTAAACAAAACGAAATGTCAGTCCGCCATTTCCATACTAAAAGCTTATCGATAACGCAATAAATTCAGCACTGTATTCAGGAAAAGGTATTAAATAAGGCCAACTTTCGGTCAAACTTTGAATTTTGTTGTGCCTATTTTTATATGGCAAAATCGACTTTGGTTGCTGGTTTTCCGCTCAATGTTGATTCCAGCCAGTAAAGTTCGTAATATAAACATAGTATTATGTAGATGCATTCTGTAAGAAATTTAGGGTGTTCACGGGGCACTGGTTATCGGGTTATGTGATGATAAAATGAAAAATAACCTGTGTGCACCGTGAACAGACTTTTATGTAGGTTATCTGGTTATTTTTTTACAATCAGCTGTTCTTTGTTTTTGTCGTAAGTACAAAGAAATTTAAATTTCAAAATCAACACAAAATGCCTAAAAAGAGTATAAAAAATCAAATTATAGACTTAAAAATAAATGCAGCTATTAAAGATCTTGAATTTATCAAAGGTATGCGTTTTAAAGCTTAATAGTTGCAAAAATCAAAATAGACACAGCACACTTCGATCAATGGCACGCTCTCATTGATGAAAGAATGGATGAACTACTGGAGGATGTAAGAACAATCACATCTTATCGACGAGGGGATGAACTAAGTGTGCCAAAATCCATTCATTGGCGAGATAATATTTTATGTTGTTTCGACGAAGGACGATTTTTGCAAATGTTACGTGTCAACAAGAGTCAATTTGCTCATCTTGTTGAAATATTTGCAATTGATATAATATTCAAAGGTCCAGGATCCAATTTGCAACTGCCCGTGGAGTTACAACTCGCGATAGTACTATTCCGTTTAGGTTCTTCAGGAGAAAGTGCATCAGTGCGAAAAATCGCGACAATTTTTGGAGTGGGAGATGGTGGCACTCTAACTAAAATTACCCAGAGAGTATTTTCAGCAATTTTGAAAAAATTACCGGTATACATTCAATGGCCTAGTGCGACTGAGCGTAGGCAACTTATTGCTCATACGTTCAGTGAGTTACCATTCTGTATTGGTTATATTGATGAAAGTGAGATAAAGCTGGCCGAAAAACCTAGCAATAACCATGAGGCATATTTTTCTCGTCAACGAATATATTCTATTAAATTGCAAGTTGTATGTGATCATAAGCTCCGCATCATGCACGCATTAGTGGGTAATCCGGGAAGCTACCATGATTCTAAAATATTTAAGAAATCGCATATTGCAACAAACAGCGCCTTCTTATTTACTGGAGAAGAATGGATTGCAGGCGACTCTGCGTACCAGTTGACTAAACATTTGATAACGCCATATCGCACCAATTCTTCTTTAATGAATATTGAACAACAAAACAAATTCAATAAAAGACACAGCCAATACCGCGTTAGAGTTGAAAATTGTTTCGGAATCCTTAAAGAAAAGTTTTGCAGTTTAAAACAAATGAGAATTAAAATAAAAGACAAGAAAAGCCAAAAATTTTTCAATTCTTGGATTCTCGTTTGTTGTGTGTTGCATAATATTTTGTTGGAAGACCGCAATTTTTCACAATTTGAAAGTGAGAATAGCGAAAGGTGTGAAGCGCAGTATGATAGCAATACTATTGCTGCACCTACACCTGAGCTAAAAAGATGTTTGAATATGATGTTTGAATAAAAGTACACATTTTTAAATCTTTTTAATAAGTCTGTTTTATTATTTATTTTTATATTTCACATCAATTTTATATTTTTTAATTCTTTCTTTTTGTTCTAACTCTAATTTCTTGAGTTTGAACTCATTCTCAACTTTCTGCCTTTCCAATTCTAATTTTTGTTTTTCCATTTCTTTTGTCCACTCGAATTTTTCAATTTCTAAACTTAATTGCTCTTTCCGAAATTTGACCCGGTCACTCTCCATATCTTTAAGCTTATCAATGCAAGTAGGACGTGCTGTACGCTTAACCTTGTTTTCAAAGGAGATAGTTTCTGATGATGCTGATAGTTCACCATCCAATATAACACTATCTTCTTCCAAATCAATTGCATCAAGAGTACAGTCCAATGAGTTCGATGTGTCCATTACAACAAATTCAATTTCCTTTGAAGGTGAAAAAATGTCGACAAGCTGTTCGTAATGTGGACATATTTTAACCACCTTGTCTGCACATAAACAAAAAATATAAAACTATTGTAGTAAAAAGTCTACACTAAAATGACTATAAAGTTTACCTTTTACAGTAATTGTATTGTCATCATCCTCAACTCCAGCGCCTGTAGAATTAATCCATGCGTCTGCTTTTTGCAAAGTACTCTTCAGATGGCGAACTTTGCATTTTAATATGTTCCAATTTGCATGGATGTTTGTTTCTGCCAACAATTTTTTATAATATAGCTGGGCTGTTGGTTTCTATCATTAAATATATTTATAAAAACAAAAGTTATAACCGAAAGTAATAAAAATACAAATCAAAATACAAATTACCTCTATGTTCCTGTGCTCTTGCATATAGCTTAGTACTGTTTCTATTTCTTGCTCCGTCCATTTCTTTACTTCATTTTCACGTTTACGTTTCCGGATTTCGTTAGACACTGCAAATGGGAAATAAATAAGTCATTTGTATATTTTTATTTAGTATAGATCATTTCAACTTACTTTTACAAAATTTAAATGTTTGTTTACAAGTTTCTAGTTTCGAGCTTCAAATGTTAGTGATGCCAATTTGAAATTCAAAATTCGTGGTGCCATTTGGTGAAATTAATCTTTTTTGTAATGCCATTTGCTTAAATTTTATATTATCTTTCAACACTGCAAATAATCACATAACCACATAATTTGTATACATAGGCAGGGGTTGTGCAAAGTTAGTTATTTTTATTCAGTGCATTTTGTTGTTGCTCATATAAGCACATACGCACATAATCCGATAACCGGTGCCCCGTGAACACCCTAATTATAAACGTTTAGTGAAAAAGAAAAAGGAAGAATTGTTATCGTTTAAAAAAAAAGGTATAAATGAAAAAGGGAATTTAAATCGTGCATTTATCAAAATATTTTACTGTTTTACAGAAAATGATCATTTAAAATGAGCCATTTTCGACCAGTGTAAACACCATATTATACTATTCGGAATTTTAAGTATTGACAGCATTTCCAGAAAGCAGAGTTTGAATTGCTTGCTGAGTAATAGCAAAAGCAAGCAAATTTTGACTATTGCATAAATATTGACCAGTCAATTTCTGTCAAACGACTAATTGCTAATGCGTTGTATAAGAAAATTAATAAAAATATGCATAAGCAACAGCAAAAAAAGCCAAACTGGTTTTATTTTGAATGCTTGCTAATAGTAGATTTTACTTATTTGTATAGATTTCTTGTTTTTCTTTTTGTTTTAAAGGAATGCGTATACATTACTACTTTCTTTGTTTTGTGCATTGAATAAAGTTATGCAAAATTGTAAGCAATGTATGTATGTACAATTTGTATGCAAATAATATAATTTTATCTGTAATTAGATTATGCCCACATTTATGTTTTAGGAATTAGTTTTATATCTAAATACGATTTAATAATTGTAATAGGTTTTAGGTTGTTTGATTTTTTCTTGTTATATATATGCATATATATACATCATTGTATTAAATAAGAAATTTACTAATCTAAAATTACGTAATGATAATAATTATTTATTATTATAAATGATAGTACTTATGTTATAAATTATAAAAAACAAAAAAAAAGTTTTATCATATAAACCATAATTGAAATTAAATTGAATTTTGTTATTACGTAGAAATTAATATTATATATATATATATATATATATATATATATATATATATATATAAATGTATATATATATTGGAATTTTTACCAGTTAATAATAGTTTAGTAGTAGTATTTTATGTAGTATTTTAGCCACCTCAAAAAGATTTCTTGATTTCTTATTTAAATATATTAAGTCACGGATATCAGGAAATGCAAGATTGATATTAGAAAATAAAGTTATAGGGAGTTGGAATGAACTTAAGACTCAACTCAAACAGAACTATAAAGATAATGACAGTATACTAGCTTTATGTAGAGAACTGACATCTACTAGACAAGGGGGAGGAACAGTTAGGCAGTTCCAATTATTTATCGAAACCATGTCTAGAAAATTTGAAGCAGATACTAAAATAGAAACGCTAGATGCTAGTGTTAGAGAAGCAGTTTATAATTATATTGAAACTAAGATCGTTTTAAATGCGTTCATAAATGGCTTAGATGGAGAAATCGAACAATACATGAACAATTGTCGTCCACAATCATTGTTAGAGGCTGAAAGATTTGCACAGGATGAAGACTCCAGTATAAGTTAAAGACAAACTGTTGAGACGAAATTTCAGTGTTAAAATAACACAAATAAAGTACTACAATTGTGGAAAATTAGGACACATCGCTTCAAAATGTATCATAAACAAGGAACAAACTAATAGCACTGGAGAAAAAATGATGAAGTGCTATAAATGTGGCAAAATAGGACATTTTGCAAATAAATGTTATTCAAAAATAATACAAAAGAATGTTTCTCCGGAAGGAAAGAAAAATTTTCAAAAATAGGAAACGTAACTAAGGCAACGTTTTCCTCAAATGTAAGTAAAGAATGTTCTTATATAATAATAGATCATAAGAAATGTTATTATAAATTCCTTATAGATAACGGAGCTAGTATTAGTTTAATTAAATCTAAATGCATATATATAGAAGAAATGAATAATATTAATAAGATAGAATTAGTTGGTATAGGCAAAAAATCTAAAACAACAATAGGAAATGCATCCATTAGAATAGGAATTAAGAATATAAAAGGCAAAACGCATATTTACAGATGAAAATTTCACGTGATTCCAAATGATCTGGTTTACGAATATGATGGCATAATCGGAGTTGATTTTTTAGGCCATTTTAAGTGCAAAATAAATTATGACAAAGATTTATTTTTGTTGATAAAAACCGTCATAATCTACAATATAATAAATTTGAAGAGGTTGTTTCGCCAAGAATAAAAGTATTTCGTTCTGTTATAGTACGTTTCCGCTACGTACTTAGTAAGCTTCATTTACTGAGTAAATTGCGTTTGCCATACAAAGACCTTCCGTGCTTTTTCATTTACTATAAAATATAGTAAACAAAATTAGACCAAAATTATACCAAATATGACGATTGCATTGGAAATTATCGAAACTTGATATATTTGACACATGAAACAAAATGTAAACATAAACAAACAATCAAAATTCAAAACAAACAACAGGTAAGAATTTTTTTTTAAACATTTGTTTCTTTATAATTAAAATATATAATTAATACATAAAAATAAGTTTATTTATCAAATATATATTTAATACTGTGACGACTGCTCTAAGGTGCGGAGGTGTGCGGTGAACACCCTAACCTAATTTGCAAAATGTCAAATAACATAGGTATATAAATTTATTAAGTATCTTCACATCAAGAATTATTATTATTTATTACATTTCCATATATATATTTTTAAGGTTTAAGCAAAAACAATTAAATATAATTGCCTATGAAAATTCAATCAATTTGCACAGCCAGCCAGCACAAGTGAAGCCAAGCTCACGGCAGAGCCGTTACCTTGCGAAGAAATGCATTATTTATTTACGCACACGGAATTACATTTGTGTGGTTGTGCGTACAAATAATAAAGTGAGAATATTTTCATATAAATAAGCGAGAATTCTATATGAAAAAACACTTAGCGCCGGCACACCGAAGTGAGTAGAGACCTACTCCAACGCTAAGTCGTTTGGAAGCAAATGGTATTGTGATACTATAAGCTAAATAAATTGGTAGTAAATAAACCTTTGTATAACGCCTCTGATGTTTTGATATCATTGGCTAGAATCTTGTATAGACCTTTGTATAACGCCTCTGATGTTTTGATATCGTTGGCTAGAATCTTGAGTAAAACTTTGTATAACTTTGTATAATCAATATTTTCTGTAGCATAATAAGTAATAAGTTAATTGTAAATTCAATAAAATTTGGAAATAAAAATTAAACGGTTTTAATTTTCCCCTCATTGGTTTATCAGATTTCGAACTGGTCAGTAAATAAATTTATTGCGACGACCCGGACCGCGACTGAGTGATACCTCAGCAAAAATAAAACGACGAATCCGTGTCGTTACAATATATTAAGTTATTTAAATTTTCTGTCTTCCATGCTGATTTATTTTCTTCTACAATCCAACATTTAATATCATCTGTTTACAATTAAAATGTAGACACAGAAAAGCTCTAAAACTAGAACTTTTTGACACATAAAAGCTCTTTCCCATTCCTTAAGCAACTCATGATAATGTAAACGCAAAAAGCTCTATGTTACTATATGACTTACTAAGTACGTAATGGAAACGTAGTATTAAGGTTAATAAAGTTAAAAAGAATGGATTAAACGTGTATATTCCACGCTATGAATATGAAAAAATTGTCATTCCTCATGGTATAAGAACAATGAGAAAAGGAAAATGCTTAGTGAGCATTATAAATAAATGTGAGGAAAAGGTTGTGATTGATTTTCCGTTGAAGATAATAATTGTAGAGAGGATCCTAAAAAATTAATGAAAGATAGAGTGTTTCAAATAAGAAATAGGTGTGCATGTATACAAAGGAGTTTAAGAGTAGATCATATGAATAATGAGGAGAATGAATCAATTAGGAAATTGATTTCAGAATATAGTGATTTCTTCATAATAGTAGGAGAAAAATTGATTTTCAATGATGCGTTAACTTGTGACATAAGAACACAAGAAGAAGTAAACCTTATTTATACGAAAACATATAGACACCCAAAAGTTCAAAAAGAAATGAAAAATCAAGTGAAGAAATTGTTACAAAACGATGTTTTACAGCATTCTAAGTCACCGTAGAATTCTCCTGTGTGGATGGTTCCGAAAAAGAAAGATGCTTCTGGAAAAACGAAGTGGCGAATGGTAGTCGACTTTAGAAAACTAAATGAAATGACGATAACGGATACATATCCAATACAAAATATCAACGAGATTTTAGACCAATTGGGAATGTCTAAATATTTTACAACACTTGATCTATCGAATGGATTTCATCAGATTAAAATGACTAAGGAGGATATCGAGAAAACAGCATTCACTACCCCACATGAACATTATGAGATTAAGAGAATGCCATTTGGATTGAAAAATGCACCTAGTATTTTTCAGAGAATGATGGATATCATTCTAATAGGAATAAAAGAAATTAAATGTTTTGTGTGCATGGGTGATACTGTGGTATATGGTAAAGATTTAACTAATCACAATGAAATACTAAGAGATGTTTTAGAGCAACTAGGGAAAGCCAATCTGAAGCTACAAGCAGATAAATGTGAATTTCTAAGGAAATAAGTCGGATAATTGGGTCATATCAATTCCTTCATGGGAAACGTTGGAGCTGCTGGAGCGGATAGAACAAACGAAAAGATGAAAAAGCGAAAAATACGCAAGAGAAAATGGAAATTGAAAATAATGGAAAAGAATCGATTAAAGTAAACTTTAAAAATATTGTTGAAGAAAATGTTCAGGAGAAAGGGATAATGATCGAGGTAACAAATTTTCAGAAAATGAAAGAAATAATTAAGAAGTATCATGATAGTATTATAGGTGATCATGTCTGACAAAAAGCAACTTTTGTGAAAATTAGAGAAAAATATACGTGGAAAAATTTATATGATATGGTTGCAGATTATGTAAGATCCTGTAAAAAGTGTCAATTAGGTAAAATAGATAGACATCCTACTATAATGTCTATGCAACTGGTTTCATG